CCGAATATGGGCTCTAAGCACTCCCGTGGATAAAAGTGTGATCAATGCGTGCATAAGTGGCATGTGGGACCAAATAATGCATATAGTCCCTTCCAGTGGGGTGGGTTTCCCTCCATTGTTCACCAATCCCAAATAATGAATCATTTTAGCAATAGCTATACTTCATTTAGGCGGCCTCCTCAGTTGCATAACTGACAGTCTAGATTTGTCTAAGCTAAGATCTAAAGTGGTATTGGAGTCACCCCCAAGAAGCACCATACCTTCCAAATGAGGGGACAGAGAACGTAACCTATCCGAAAAGAGAGCCAGTTGACCAGTATTGGGGGCATAATAAGCCACCAGCGAAGTGGCCAGAAATAAGTAGCACCCATTAGGGTCCTTACGCTCCATAAGGGGCGTAAAAAAAAGTCTTCCGCGCAAAGCGTCTTATCCGCCGCATTTGCGAGGATGAAATTAGGAAATTTAGCATGAATAAATGAGGGATTATAGGTGCCGGGAAAATGAGTTTCCTGGAGGAAAACCACATCAGCATGCTGCGAATTGTAGTACTGAAGGATTTTCCGCCTTTTTTTTCGGATAATTTAATCCCTGAACATTATGGGAGCAAATTCTCAATTGAAAATTATTAGGACACATAATGACTGGCCCATAGAAGGACACTCACAGTTAACTGACCACCACTTACCACTCCCGCACATGAAGATCGCTGGACGATATACAAATATAAATCTCGGACCACAGGAAGGATCTGTAGGGTAAGAATCTGTCTCTGGACAACAGAAGAACACAGAACAAAATGAGATGAAAGTAGCAGGATAGAAAAAGCAACCGTGCAGACATACTACGGCAAGTAGGGGAGGACAAGCCTACCCCCACCATCTGCAACTCAGAAAAGCACAGTCCCACAACAAAGGACCACTGCTTGCCCCACAGTGTCTCACAAGGCACAGTGGAACAGGCGGGGTGGCGTGCCACCCCAGACTGGCCTATCAGCCACTATAATAAACACAACTATTCTCAAAGAACATTATACCCTTAGGGTCAAGGTGAAAAAACAAAGATCAGGTCCACCCTTCCCAAGGCCCCCTGCCACCGCACCAGGCCGGCAGGGGCGCTCACCTATATTTCCAAAGCCCCGGGACCCCCAAAGCAGTCAGTGATCCCAGAGCCAAGGAGGCCTCATCTACGTCCACACATATGAGAAACCCAAACCAAAATGCTCAGTCTAAAACTTAGAAGTTAACATATGAGAACTATTAAAAGCAAACTGAGACCCACAGACACCCCCTGACTGAATTATTTTCACAGTACAACTGGAAATAAATCTGAGAAAAAATGGGCAACCAAGGGAGGAGTACACAAATAATTATGGCAGCCTAGAGTCCCTGGATCTTCCAGTCTTGGAGCTTTGCCACAATGGTGAAATCGGCCATCACGGTAAGCTGCGTTTAGGCAACCCGAATGTTGTTGGAGCCGGAGATGAAGCAGGGGGTTTTTGAGCCACGATACACAGCTGAAGCAGTAGAGACTCTCCCTCCTGGAATGATGAGAAGCTGTAAGCCTTATTCTGGAAAGAGAAAACCAGACGGGAAGGGAAGGACCAGCAAAATTTAATGTAATTTCTTGTGAGAGCCTGCAGCAAGGGTCTAAGGGCCCGTCATCGCTGGAGAGTATACGGGGATAGATCAGCGAAAATCTGGATCTCATGTCCCTGGATTTGTAAGGAGGGGTTATCTCTAGAATATCTCATCATGGCTTCTTTAACGGAGTAGAAATGTGGTTTCACAATAATATCCCTTGGTAACCCATCTTCCCGAGGTAATTGCAAAGGGGCAGGGGTACTCATATGAGTGCTCTGGGTGTCTGAAATCTCCTTCAGGTCCCCTCCCTGCAGCACCTATTTTGTGAGGAGACAGACCACATGGCTGTGTAGCGGATCCAGGTGCCATCTCGGAATTCCCAGCCTGGAGGGATCCCGACGGATGGTGGCGGGATGGAGTCCTCCGCTCCATCTCCCCCAGATCCAGTCAGTGCTAGAGCACTCTCCCTGGCACCAGGCCTACCTGGGAGCTCAGTTTGAGGGCTGTGGGCACTGTGGCAGGGTAACAGCGGCCGGCCTGGGATGGAGCTCTCTGCTTAAGTGACCATATTGGAGTGCTCTGCGCATGCATCTGGTGCTGTTACTTTAACTGACAATCGTGTGGTCATGCAACGCTGCACCCAAATTAAATTTATGTCCTTTTTTCCCCACAAATGAAGCTTTCTTTCAATGGTATTTGATCGCCTCTGCATTTTTTATTTTTTGCGTTATAAACAAAAAAAGACCAACCATTTTGGAAAAAAAAAATCTTTTTAACTTTTTGCTATAAATAATATCCAGTAAAAAAAATTTAAAAAGGATCAAATTTCTTCATAGATTTAGGCCAAAATATATTTTGCTACGTCTGCTAAAGAAAAAAAAAAAAATCCCAATACATGTAAATTGGTTTACATGAAAGTTATAGCATCTACAAATGGTGGTATATATACTTGAATTTTTTTTTACACTATAATGGCGGCGATCAGCGACATATAGTGGGACTGCGGCGAGCATTCTGACACTGGTGAGGAACTAACTGCCACTGACATCCCCAGTGACACTAATACAGTGATCCGTGCTAATAAAAAGCACTGACACTGTACTAATGCCACTGGACAGGAAGGGGTTAACATCTGGGGCGATCAAAGGGTTAACTGTGCTGTTATGCTATGTTGTCTGTGTGTGCTTTACTATGAAAGCACGCTGCTTTGTATTGCTGTGCTATGCACAGCAATACAAAGCAGTATGCTGTTGCTGACAGGGGAGAGGTCTGTATTGTTTACATACAGACCTCTCCCCTGTCAGTGTTCTTCGGCAATCGCCATGCACCAGCGGGGAATCTCCGGCCGGGACCCAGTGATCGGCAGCTGTAGCCACCAATGGCGGTGTGGGTAGGGTGGCGCGCACCCTCTACCCAGAAATACAAAATCACATATATGTGATTTTGCGCAGCCCTGCCACCCTGTAGCAGTAGTTCTGCTATAGGTCAGTCGGGAAGCAGTTAAGGACTAATGACATAATGGCTTAATTTTAGGGTTCACACACTAAGGTGTGCATCCAGAAGAGACAGTTGAAGGGATCTGCTGCCCTCTACTCTACAACAGCTAATATCGCAGTGTTATGTATATTTATGTATAAGCATTTCCTCTCTCTGGGAGATGACTTAAAAACCTCAGTGGAGAGCGAGAGGACTGACACCACATGTACACATACAGGAGTTGCATTGCTGCAATGCTGTATTTTATCTAGACCAGAAGCAGGGGGTATTATGCAATTTTCTGTGTTCTGGCTGTTTAACGCTAGCTGCCCATAACTTCTTGATCTAAATCCTAGTGTCAGACAAGTATCTATCCTATTGTTATCTCACATGCGCAGTGGTAGATAGCTCGGTCTGTGTTACAGTATATGTGTAGTAATCACCTTTCAGTACATTAGGTGGTGAACCTGTTTTATATACAGTTCTTGTAAATTTATTTATATGCATCTCCTTTTATTTTAATTAACCCTGTCTCTTTTATGGTCTGGGATTCTATAGCTATTTTTAGCTCCAGATCTAATATCAAGCATAAGCTAGAGCCAGGTTAAGCATCTGATGGCCACTTCTAGTAGTTAAAGGGCCATTTGCATGTCAAATTATAAACTACTTGGGAGGCACTAAAGCACAGAGTAGATGTGCTGGCTCTGAGTCCCAGTGCCACACCACAGTTTCTGCATGTGAGAAGCTGTGTTCCAGGCTGGTTGGACAACAGATGGAGGATCTCCCCATCACCACTGATCTTGTCTTCAAGTCTCCAACATAAAGATAGATGCCTCATCGTGACCATCCTCAGGCGCCTCCGCAACTGGACTTTGCTGCAACATTTACCTAACAGTATCTTTTTACTATGTATTCCTAGGTAAGTGTGTAAAATGGGCCGTTTGCCAGTAAAAACACGGGATGTATGTTTTTCTCTTATATAAATAGTGTTGTTTTTATGTTGTGTATCAGTATACTTATGGTAATGTTATATGCTGGTTGCAATAGTAGTTCCTCTGCTCCCAATAACAATAGATTGCTGATTAATTTCCCAGTAAGAGAATAAAGCCCCCCCACCCCCCCTAAAAAAAAAAAAAAAAGACTACACAGGCTTTTTTTTTTTTTTTTTTGAGTCAGACTTTTAAATTGGTTTTGTCCACTACACCACATTCACAATGAACACACAGTCACTAAGGGATTCCCTGTTTTGGGATAACTCCTATATACAAAATTAAATAATTGACATGCAAAAAAAGTATCTCTTTATAAGTAATTTTTTATTACTGCAGAAGATATACTGTAAATCTAGACGGGGATGTGTGACCACAATGTTATTACCTACATGATCTGCGAGGATAGATACTTTGCAATCACAAGAGTACACAGTAGCTCCAAAGACGCAAGCAAAAATCTACATACATCATACAGTGGTCTTATTTAAAAAGAAAAAAAAAAATAGGGTCAGATAAGAGGCTGTAGGGCCTCATTAATCAGCTAGGGCTCTATGCCTTGGATGACTAGCACTGCAGAAAAGGTTACTTAACCACTTGCCTACCAGGCACTTATACCCCCTTCCTTACCAGGCCAATTTTCAGCTTTCAGCACTGCCGCACTTTGATTGACAATTGCGCGGTCATGCAACATTGTACCCATATGAAATTTTGATCATTTTTTTCTCACAAATAGAGCTTTCTTTTGGTGGTATTTAATCACCACTGGGCGCTTTACTTTTTGCGCTATGAAAAAAAGTTTCTTTGTTTCTATTATAAACTTTTTCAAACAGGTATTTTTTCTCCTTCACTGATGTGCGTTGATGAGGCAGCACTGATGGGCACTGATAGGCAGCACTAAAGGGCACTGATAGGCAGTACTAATGAGGTGGCACGGATAGGCGGCAGATAGGCGGCACTGATAGGCAGCACTAATGAGGTGTCACGGATAGGCGGCACTAATATGCAGCACTGATAGGCGGCACTGATAGGTGACACTGATGATGGGTACTGATAGATGGCACTGACTGGCGGCACTGACTGGCGGCCACTGGTGGGCGGGCACTGGTGGGCGGGCACTGGTGGGCACAGGTGGGTGGCACTGGTGCTGGGCACAGGTGGGTGGCACTTCTGGGCACAGGTGTGTGACACTGCAGAGTGGCACAGGTGGGTGCACTGCTGGGCACAGGTGGGTGCACTGCTGGGCACAGGTGGGTGGAGCTAGTGGGCGCACTGCTGGGCACAGGTGGGCGGAACTTGTGGGTGGCACTGCTGGGCACCGATCATTAGGGCACTGATCATCAGTGGCCCTGATGATCGGTGCCAATCCTCGCTCTGACAACTGCCGGTTCTCAGCAGTACTTTCCTCACGATCTGACAGCGTGAGGAAACTGCAGCTGAGAACCGGCACTTGCATTTCCCTGTGATCAGCGTGTCATTGGACACCGCTGATCACGTGGTAAAAGGCCGGTATGATCGGCCTTTTACCACATCTCGTGATCAGCTGTGTCCGTAGGACACAGCGATCACGGAGATCGCCGGCTGCGCGCCCCCTGGGGCGCGCAGGAGGGCGCGTTCTGGGGGGACGTCATATGACGTCCACCCAGAACTGGCCGGCCGCAGTGAAGCCGTCATTCGGCTATCTGCGGTCGGCAACTAGTTAAAGCAGAGCTCCAGTGCCCATAACAATTTTTTTTTAAAAAGCTCTCCCATTATTATTTCATCTTTCCCATTAATAATTGAATAAAGGTCTATGTGATATCCTGCTCTTTAGTTGATAAAAAGTAATATTTTACCTCGATCTAGGAAGCAGGCAGACGCCATGAAGATTGTGGGCATCTGAAGCCCTCAGGTCTATATTTCCGGGATTAGGTGCTGCTGGCTATCGCAGCATGCACCTCGCGATCTCACGCCTGCGCAGTAATGATGGCGCACTTCATTCCTAACTAGGATTCGCAAGGACTCCTGGGATAGAAGACCCGATATCCCAGGAGACCTTGCAAATTGCCTTATTACGTCATCGCTTAGGAGGCAGGGACTGGAAGCGCCGCCTTTACCCACTATTTAAAGTGCAAACTTTAAAACTATATATATATCTCCAACAATACAACAAAAGGGCATTGCCAATAGAGGGGGAAAAAAATGGGTGGAACTCTACTTTAAAGTTTACTTTACAAATGAATGTTCTGTACTACCGGACCTTTTTTTTTTTTGTTTGTTTTTTTTTTCTTCCATTAAGACTGATTGTTGCTTGGCTCTGTGGGGTTACTTGTATACCAATGTCCAAGGTACCTATACTGTCATGTTAATTGTGGTCATGCATATTTGTACTGATTCCTTTTGCATTTTATTTTTTCCTTTGCGTCAGTATACCAATTACTATTTAATTTTTGTACACTCAGATATTCCCACCTGTAGTCACATTTAGTCAAAGGATATTTGGGAGGAATTAGATTAAGGACCCATTCAAACCTTGATGTCCAGGTACGCTGCATTAACACACACTTGTTAATGCACTTTTTTTGGTCATTAACATGCATTGCATTAAGGTTGCCAATCTGAGTGAATGTGGTGGCAAAGCACCTAAATCTTCAAAACAGATTGTGCACTATTTATGGCAACACAACATGTGGCAATGCATAGTATTGCATTACCATTGTGGTCTGCCTTATTACATATGGGTGCCAGTGAATGGCACTGCAACATCCTGATGCACATAACCAGCGTTAAGGTAACTCATGCGTTGTGTTAATGCACTTCAGAGGAAAATGGTGTTTTTGCCCCAATTGATTTGCCTCTTTATCGGATGCTTACTCATATTAATACTTTGTTCATCGGTTCAGACTTGTTTTCACTGGCTGCATGCACCTTCTGGGTCAGTGTTTAAAAGTATTGATATCATAGATTCTAGCAGATAGGTAGCCCTGTATTTCTGTCAGTTCAGACTTACACCAACTCCTAAATATTAAAGCAGAAGGTTTTTCATAGCATTAACTTTAAATCTGGCTATTAAAACCTGACTGGATCATTGTAACTACAAGTGGAGTACGTTATAAGCGGGTCAAAAATAATTACATAATCCAATCATTATTCAATATTTTCATATAAATAATGACCTTTTTAACTAGGTTACCTAATGTGCTTCTTTTCCCAATGTACAGAGACGAAGGATATATAGTGCGGAACAGAAGTATTTGAACACCCTGCGATTTTGCAAGTTCTCCAACTTAGAAATCATGGAGGGGTCTGAAATTCACATTGTAGGCGCATTCCCACTCTGAGAGACAGAATTAAAAAAAAAAATTCAGGAAATCACGTTGTATGATTTTTAAAGAATGTATTTGTCTTGCACTGCTGAACATAAGTATTTGAACACCTGAGAAAATCAGTGTTAATATTTGGTACAGAAGCCTTTGTTTGCAATTACAGAGGTCAAACGTTTCCTGTAGTTCTTGACCAGGTTTGCACACACTGCAACAGGGATTTTGGCCCACTCCTCCACACAGATCTCCTCTAGATCTGTTAGGTTTCGGGGCTGTCGCTGAGCAACACGGAGTTTCAGCTCCCTCCAAAGATGTTCTATTGGATTTAGGTCTGGAGACTGGCTAGGCCACTCCAGAACCTTGATATGCTTCTTAAGGAGCCACTCCTTGGTTATCCTGGCTGTGTGCTTCGGGTCATTGTCATGTTGGAAGACCCAGCCACGACCCATCTTCAATGCTCTGATTGAGGGAAGAAGGTTGTTGCTCAAAATCTCAAAATAAATGGCCCCATTCATCCTCTCCTTAATACAGTGCAGTCGTCCTGTCCCCTTAGCAGAAAAGCACCCCCAAAGCATGATGTTACCACCCCCATGCTTCACAGTAGGGATGGTGTTCTTGGGATGCAACTCATCCTTCTTTTTTCCTCCAAACACAACGAGTGAAGTTTAGACCAAAAAGTTCTACTTTGGTCTCATCTGACCACATGACTTTCTCCCATGCCTCCTCTGGATCATCCAGATGGTCATTGGCAAACTTCAGATGGCCCTGGACATGTGATGACTTGAGCAGGGAAACCTACCGTGCAATGCATGATTTGAAACCATGACGGCGAAGTGTTCTACCGACAGTTACCTTTGAAACTGTGGTCCCAGCTCTCTTCATGTCATTGACCAGCTCCTCCCTTGTAGTTCTGGGCTGATTCCTCACCTTTCTTATCAGTGATACCCCAGAAGGTGAGATCTTGCATGGAGCCCCAGTCCAAGGGAGACTGACAGTCGTCTTTAGCCTCTTCCATTTTCTAACAATTGCTCCAACAGTTCTGTTTTCACCAAGCTGCTTGGCAATTGCCCTGTAGCCCTTTCCAGCCTTGTGGAGGTCCACAATTTTGTCTCTGGTGTCTTTTGACAGCTCTTTGGTCTTGCCCATGGTAGTAGTTGGCGTCTGACTGACTGTGGGGTGGACAGGTGTCTTTAAAGAGCTCAGACAGGTGCTACTAAGATTAATGAGTGGAGTAGAGGTGGACTTTTTAAAGGCACAGTAACAGGTCTTTGAGAGCCAGAATTCTTGCTGTTTCTTAGGTGTTCAAATACTTATGTTCAGCAGTGCAAGACAAATAAATTCTTTAAAAATCATACAATGTGATTTCCTGAATTTTTTTTTTAATCCTGTCTCTCAGAGTGGGAATGCACCTACAATGTAAATTTCAGACCCCTCCATGATTGCTAAGTGGGAGAACTTGCAAAATCGCAGGGTGTTCAAATACTTCTGTTCCTCACTGTAATATGGTCTTTAATTCTGGAGGCATCATTCTCTGTTTCCAATTCTACAACATCACTGCTGTATTACTGCTTTGAAAAACTTATTTTAAATGACAACCCATTTTTGATTGTGGAGCAGTTTGCAGTCTGTTGGTGCTGATATGTGTTCTACTTCGTGCTACCAAACTACAGCATGTAACAGTTTTAGCAATCTTTCCATAGGGTGAAATGATAAGCATTCTCCTAAATAATGGCTAACCTGTTAATCATTTTGCAAGTTACAGTATATACTTGAAATGGTACTTACTGTATGTAGCCAATGTTGTACTTAAAAAAAAAAAATAAATAAGGTAGGGCCAAAGCTCTTTTGACCATACTTCTTCTGTGGGTTACAGGAGTGCACTTAGTTCTGCATCTTGTGACCATTCAGCTGACAGAAGGTTAAAGTCCTTTAACCAGTTCCTGCCTACCATACGCATATATGCAGCCCTCAGCATTAAACTCAGGCCGCATTCCCTAAACTTTCCTGTGCTGAGAGCATGCCAGTTATTGGTGTATACCGGAAAGTTCCTGATGCATACTGGCAATCGGGCTTTCCAATCATGTGACTGCTGTGACTGACCATCACAGCATTCATGTTCAGAATGCCCACCTTCACCTCCTGGCATTTAGAACCAGGAAGGTGGCAGCGGGAAGGGGTTAAAGTCATGATCCACCCAGATACCTGACCTGCAGCTGGCTCAGCCTCTCAGTGAGCCTGAAAGAACCTGAGTCAGCTGCTCCTGCCCCCTCCACAGCCTAGCTCTCCAGTGAGCACTGGAGGGGCAGAGCGGAGAGGTGGCGACTGACAGCTGCTGCTCTCTGCTCAGTGAAGATTAAGAACTGAGTGATCAACTATCTTTGGTCACTCAATTCTTGGTCTTAGAGGCAACAAGGGACAAATGCAGCACTGGACTGATGCTGCATCCACCTAGGTCAGTGGTAGGCAACCTTTTTTTTTTCAACTGAGCCAAATCTCGCCAAAACCACGATTGAAATTTATTTTGAGAGCCACATTTTTAAAACTGAAAATACATAGGATGGTACACTGTTTTTAGTTTCAATAAGTTTTTATAGTAATTCATCCCCCATATAGTAATTCATCCCCCATATAGTAATTCATCCCCCATATAGTAATTCATCCCCCATATAGTAATTCATCCCTCATATAGTAATTCATCCCCCCTATAGTAATTCATCCCCCCTATAGTAATTCATCCCCCCTATAGTAATTCATCCCCCATATAGTAATTCATCCCCCCTAGTAATTTCATCCCCCCTATAGTAATTCATCCCCCATATTAATTCATCCCTCATATAGTAGTAGTAAGTAAGTAGCAAGTAGTAAGCCAAGTCCCCCCTGTGTCAATTCACTTACCTTTTCTCTGCGCGTTCCTCTCGCCGTGTTCCCGCGCCGTTCCGGTCTTCAGGGCGGACTGTGAGAGGAGCCTAGCTCCTCTCACGTTCGTCACGCTGCCCCGCCTACACACATCCTGACAGCCAATCACTGGCTATCAGGATGTGAGTGGCAGCGAGACTGGCCAATCATTGCATTTGAGCGCGCTGCCCTGGCTGTTTTTTTTTTGGATCACGCTGCAGAGTCCCTGCCGCCCGAGAGGAGGGAGGGGAGCGGGGCGCCCGGCACACAAGAGCCGCATTAAAGCGTGTAAAGAGCC